CACACATGTCAGAATTGAGAGAGGCAAGCTGTGAGGCAAAATTCCTTCGAAGTTTCCTACCACGCGGGATTACATTTTGCGTGCAGAATTTAAAAAAATAATTATCGCCGCTAAAAATGTATTTCATTTTAGGAATCAGGGTATCAAAATAATAAAAGTGCCTGGTGTAGAACTTGATTTGATACTATATTTAAACTTAAACAAACATCGTGTTTGAAAGTCAATTTTGAATCTGAAGTCATGTATCAAGGTCACCCGCTTCATTGTGCATCTGACGTCACAGCTACTAGGCGTAGGCCTACACACTGCACACGTCCCTGGGCTGGTAAAAAAAAACACATCCCCAGAGCCAGTACTGGAGGCCTGGTGCCAGGGATGACACATCCATGTCCAGGTTGTACTCATCTCGTTATGTGATTTCATTTTGCCACCTTTAAATTCTAACAATACAATATAAAATAATTGTAGCCCAAACAAAAGTCTTAAGTCCATAAAGTAGGTCTTGTTTCAATAAGAGTTTTATGGCACTTGCAACACAATTAGGTCGTAAAATAAGTGTCAAAGCTTAGAGGTGTTACAAGAGAATAAGAAATACACGAGAAAAGAGGAAGAGACATAAGAACGATAGACGCTTAATGTGAAAGAAGAAGCAAACCACACCAACCAGAGCACCCGTCAACCACCCACTCACCAGGTCCACGGGGTGCTGAGGTACCATGCCGTAGTGGTACATGTGACCCAGGTAGTAGCCGCTGTCCATGTGGCCCATGAATTTGGCCTTCCGGAACATGTTGAGAGCCTGGGTCATGTTGTGGTCAATCTCTAGCGCCATCCAGCCCAGGGCCGTCATAGCGTGGGGGTTTTTCTGGGAAGAGATGGAGAAATTACTTACTTTAATTTTTACTTTTTCTTTTAGTTTTTCATCCTCTGTTGCCGTTAAGCGTCGAGGGGAGATGCAGTTTTCTATGGTAGGCCAGCTCCGCAGCTCTTTCAGTTGTGATGTTATGTTTTCTTAGGGTTTCCTTGACACCCTCGATCCACCTTTTGCGTGGCCTTCCTCTTCCTTTATAGCCTGAGTGCTTGGTGTTGTAGGCTCTCAAGGCTGGCTCGTCAGGTGACATACGTAACAGGTGACCAAACCTTTTATCCTCTGTCTTTCTTTGTAACGCAGGCAGGACTCAGTGCCGATAGCTGCTCTTACGTCTTCACGTCTTCATTTCTCTGCCTGTCTCGTCTTGTGATGTTAAGGGTTTTGCGGAGACATTTGATTTCGCATGCGGTGATTTTGCTTTCATGGGTTTTGCTTAAGGTCCAGGTCTTGTGTGATTTTACTTTATTGTGCCTTGCTTACGTCCTGGTGGGAGTGGTCGTTTGTACAGGTCATTGTTTTGGATTGGTAGTTGTTAGGGAAGGTTCGGTTGTACATCATAGCAGAAAAAGAAGAAGAAAAACTGGTGTATTAGTAGGAATAGAAGACGAGGGTGAAATTGTACAGGTTTATTAATGCTTATGTCAACACTAGCAGGTTATCTAAGAGGTTGTACCTCCGAGGTTAACGTCCATCTTCGTAAGGACCGAGCCAAAAGGGATATTCGTGTAAGTTGCCTTTCCCAAGGACACAGCGTCTGAACAAGCTGAGTCTCGAACCCCCATAACCACAGTCTCACGATTATGAGTCCGGTAGCCTAATCACTAGGTCACCGACGCCACCTTTCTCAGAACAAGGACACATCGGGGGTATACAGTGGAATCTGAGCGAGACAGCCACCCAGTGTATAGTCAAGGAGAAAAGTGGTTGTCTTTGGCAGGTGCTTTTTAAACAATTAAGATAATTATGATAATGATAATGATGATACCAATTTAAACCCTTTATATGTCAAGACAATATACACATCACTCCAGAAAGCCATAGACATTATAATACAAATACACCTCTGATGAGGACAACAAATTTATGCATTCTCAGTCTAACAAACACCCCAGACAGCGCAAATGGTGTATTATTAGGAATAGATAGAAGACGCACACAATAATTTACAACTTTCAACACTTTGTATTATACAGTCAAAATCGTCCAAGACGGACCCCCATTTTGGAGAAGAAAAGTTGTTGTCTTAGTCAGACGGACATCTTGAACTTTACTTTACTTTACTTTACTTTACTTTCCTTTTACTTTTTCCGTCCTCTGGTATCCTTACGATTTCGAGGGGAGATGCAAGTTTCGGTCCTGTGCTAAATGTGTAGCGTCAGTAATAGATATGTTATGCTGTTCCAGGACCTTTTAAGATAAGGTAAGATAAGATTGTACTTTATTATCCCAGAGGGAAATTTTCCTTGGCTGTACAGGACCGTAAAAACACATGCAGGTATGCATAAAAAAATTAATTTATATATTACTCTCATTAAAATTCAATATGAAAAGAGAAGTAAAGCTTATAGAATGTACATTTACATCAAATGAATCATTCAACAACATACAGGAGTTTAAACACAAGACCTTTGGAGTTATATAGATATATACTCTAAGAGCAACACACATCTATGCTCATTCTGACAAAAGCCTTAAGCTAGAAGGCAAAAAACTTCTTTTATATCTTTCTTTCTTTGTTTTTGGAGGTACATATCTGCCGCTGCGTGATCTTACAATTTGTGTGGAAAGAGGGTGTGATGGGTCGTTCATAATGCTTTTTATCTTTTTTATACGTGTGGTGTTATACATTTCATCCATTCAATTAAAATCATATCCAGAGATCTTGCTGGCTTTCTTAATGGTTCTGTCAAATTTTTCTTTGCCTTTCACCTTACAATTCCCACCCCAGCAGCAAATACAAAATAATAGCACAGTTTCAATCTTAGAATGGTTTAAAAAAGGGACATAATCTTATTGTCAATACGGAAACTTCTTAATTTACATAAAAGAAACATTCTTTTCTTTAATTTTTTTCACCCCTTCCAGTCAGGTCTTTCTTGATCATCCTCTTGATTTAAAGCCGGATTCACGGGAGTGGTAAGCTCTAGCCACTAGTTGTTTCTGGGGCATCCTGGTTAAATGTCTGAATCATTTGTGAGGCAGCGTGGTGGAATCAGGCTCTCGTCAAAATAATCAAAGTGAAGAAACTTGCATTTTTCCGCAGGTTTGTGAATTTTTTTTATCAAACTTTTGTTTTTTGGCTCAACACCTTTCATGGCAATTAAATAACTCATTTCGTTGTGGATTTTCCTGAAAAGCTTTGATTGAAGGCACAAAAATATTAATTTTCAGTTACAACGGACTCTTAAGCTAAGGAAATAACTAATAACTAATCTAATCTTTGGCAGCTATTTTCTCACTAATTTTACATTTGAAAACTGGTGATCCCCACCTCCTTCTTTCGCAAACATCTCGACTTGTATCCAAGATAAATTGATATTTTTTTCATCCAAATAAAGACAAGTGAACAAGCTTTAAGATGATACCAATAACTCTATACATGCCAAAAAATTGACGAGAGCCTGATACCACAACGCTGCCTCACATTTGACTCTTTGACGCTCAATGACATTTATTTCTTGTGGTATTCCGGTTTGTTGGCGTATGGTCTCGTTCCTTATGCAGTCTTTTCAGGTGACATTGATGGTTTTGCAGAGACACCTCATTTCGCATGCATTGATGTTACTTTATTGTGCCTTGCTTACGTCCTGGTGGGAGTGGTCGTTTGTACAGGTCATTGTTTTGGATTGGTAGTTGTTAGGGCAGGTTAGGTTGTACTTCATAGCAGAAAAAGAAGAAGAAAAACTTGTGAATAGTTATTATCGTTAGGAAAACTTCAGCAAAGACAACACAAGAGTGTGTCCACTCACCAGCTTAGCGGCTTTCTCCACCATCTTTCTGCCTCGGGTGCGGTTGGGTCGAACCCCTATGCCCTGGAAAAAAACATGTAATATGATTAATAAAATGACTCACATTCCAAGGGTCTTGATCACAATTGTTTGTTCGTTTGTTTGTTTGTTTGTTTGTTTGTCTGTTTGTTTGTTTGAGTAAAGAGAAGCACATCCACTCATGTAAGACAGACAGACAGAAACAACAGAGAAAAAATAAAGAATTAGAACCTATCAGTGGCGCCCTCCAACCACCGAGACTATTGTTTGGTTCACATCTAGTTTCTCATGTGTAAAAGTAGACCACCATTCAAAACACCATTTGATAATAGTAATAAATGATAACAATAAATTGCATTTGCAATGCACACATCCCTAATCAACAGCAAGCTCTATGCGCTATACAATATGTGAAGCAACATGGTGGAATCAGGCTCCCGTCAAAATAATGAAATCAAAGAAAACAGCAGTTTTCTCCCTGCTTAGCAATTTTTATCAAATTTTTGTTTTTCGGCTCAACACCTTTTATGTCCATTTACAAACACATTCCTTTGAGGATCTCACCGAAAACGTTGATTAAAGGCACAAAAATATAAATTTACATTTTCCATGGACCCTCCAGCTTTGAAATTTATCAAGCTTTGGCGGTCATTTTCTCGCTAATATTCCCTCTTAAATCAGGTGACCCCCACCTCCTTTAATCCAAAATATCTCCACTTCTATTGAAGATGGATGGGTAATTTTTTCATTGAAAGCAAGACAAATGAACAAGCTTTAAGATGATACCAATAAGTCAGTATGCCTAAAAATTGACGAGAGCCTGATTCCACCACGCTGCCTCACATATGTGCAATAATATCTTTATCTGTAGATCTGTAGATGATTTGGGACGTGTGAAGAGCTCTACTTCATTTTGAGGGATACTTTTCTTTTTGCAAGACCAGGCCTCCAGTTGACAGACGATATAAAAGAAAAGAGGAAATACATTGAAGAGAGGGTGGAGGACACTTTCTCCACACTTCAGAAATTGTGGCATCCCACCTGAAAGAAAAAGGACGGGGGGGGGGGGGGGGTTCCAGTGGTTTGGTACATTGTATCTGTACTACGTTACTCTATAAAGTATAATCTAGGCCTGCCTAGGATAGATCTGTCTTTTGTATTTTCAAAAAGAAGTTTCAAAAACCACAGCACAAAATTGCGCCCCAAAGATGCACTCACCCTGTATTCCATGATGCCGTAGTTGAACATAGCGTCCACATTGCCCATCTCTGCACCCTCCCTGAACACTTGCATGGCGTTCTGCAGGTTCCTCTGGAGACCCTGGGCTCCATGGTACATCATCAGCCCCAGCTCAGACTAAGTGGGAAGAGAAGGAAAGAAACACAAAAGAATAAAACAAACACGGACCAATTTTATCGTATTCTGCATAAGACAAGTCAAGCAACCTGGCGAAAGAGTAAAACTTAGACTATAGACCAATTGCAAATTAACACATCGTGGTGAAAAGAATATTATAGGCTTACGTGTAACGTTTATCACATCCTGATGAAAATGTAGGCCTACATTTTATGTGAACTAACCTACTATCTATACATCAAAGCAAAAAACAAAACAAAAACCAAAACAACCAACCCAAACCATTAAGATGTAGGCCTATAGAAAAACGATCATTCACACCTAGGTATGAAATGAACATTATACAGAGAAATTTTGCAAATAATTCTTTCTTTCTGTTTTTAGTGTGTGTGTGTGTGTGGGGGGGGGGGGGGGTATTTACTTTTTTAAATAAAGAAGCAAAAAGAAACCTTGATGAAACTTTTACTACTATGCCATAGTTCAGACCTGTGCGGTGGCGACCCCGTTCTGAGCCTGGTGTTTGAGCCACAGGAAAAGGTCACCGACCTCGCTGGTCTGTGCGTCAATCCTGGCCTCGTCGATCAGCCGGATGCTCTCTGTGGCGATCTGAGGAGAACATCATAATTAGGCCTAGGCCTGCTATGTCACTTATTCAGAATTACAAAGTTCCTTCTGTCATTTTCGGCCGTTTTGAGTTACAATGACCATGAGGTCAGAAACCAAAATGTAGTATCTCCAGTTTCAAAATTGTTTAAGCTTATTCAGAGTCGTTATCAGGATATTCAAAGTATTGCATTCGAAAAAGCTTGCCATGATGTGAAACTCAAAATCTTTTTTTAAATCTTTTTTTTTATAGTAGTGTTTTACGGCGCTCGCAACTGCATAAGTCATATGAGCGAGCGGGACACACCTAATATTTTAAGTTGGTAGGAAATTTTTGAATTTTGCCCGGGTGGCGGCCGAAGCCTACTCTTATCGATTTTAGACCACCAAGGGATCTTTAACGTGCGCAACTTGCACACGGGCCCTCCGAGATTTTTCGCCCTTGTCCGAGAAGGCTAGGTGTAGATCTTTCCTACCAGAAGATCAGGGGTGTAGCTGAAAGACTGCAGTAAGAAGAAGCGAAGGAGTAGCAGTAGAAAGGCTGCAGAAAGAATCAGGAGCCCAGAGGAAGGGGCAAAGGAGGTGAGGGGGTGGGGGCAGAAAGATGAGACGAAAGCAGACGACAGAACTCAAAATCTTTGACGTCAAATTTCTCAAAACTAGGTAATGAGCGGATAGATCGTTGTAATTCTGAGGTAGCGATGTGCCACGACCAGGTGGAATCAGGCGTTCGTCAATTTTGTGGCACATGGAGTATAGACTATAGAGTTATTATAATCATCTTGAAGCTCACGGCATTCATCTGTCTGACTCTGGCATTTGGCGAAAACCCTCCTCAAAGAAACTCGCCCATCTATCTTGAATAGAAGTAGATACAATATTTGCGATTGAAGTAAGTGGGGTCGCCTGGTGTCAGAGATAACATTAGCGAGAAAATTGCTGCTTAAGTTTGGTGATTTCCAAAGCTTGAGTATCCTTGGAAACGGGAAATTTATATTTTTGTGCTTTTGATCAACGATTTTCCTGTTTCCTGTAAAATCCACAGTAAACGTGTTTTAAAATTGACGTAAAATGTATTGAGCGCTAAAAGGAAGAAAGTTCAAAGAAACAACCCCCCCCCCCCAACTAGGCCTAGACTACTCCAACGACTAGAACATCTTTAGACATTTTTTATCATTATTTTGATGAACGCCTGATCTCACCACGCTGCCTCACTTATTTCATAAAAGTGTTAACTTGAAGAATTTGTTCTCCATTGTTGGTCCCAACAAAATTTTCGAAAAGGTTTTGTAATAGATCATTGGTTTGTTATTCAGATAATATACGATTCTTTAAAAAAAATGTAAACGACTGTTTTTTCTGTTTCGTTTTTGTAGGAGTTCCTTTGCAACACAATTAGGTAATTAAGTGTCGAGGATAAGAGGTGTTACAGGAGAGTAAAAAACACAAAAAAGAAGGAGGAGAGATAAGGAAGATAAATGTGAGATAGAAAAAAAGGGACAAACTACGCTAGAGCACCCACCAACTACCCACAATTGCTATAGCAATCTGGTGACTGTGAAGGTGTAGTCAGTAGGCATATACATATATCCTGTGTGGGAGGATTTCCGTAACGAGCGACCACTTTGAAACAGAGTAGAATAGAGGGCTAGGGGTAGGGTTAGGGGTAGGGTTAGGGTTAGGGGTAAGGGTAGGGATAGGGATAGGGTAAGGGTAGGGTTAGGGGTAGGGGTCGGAGTAGGGGTAGGGGTCGGAGTAGGGTTAGGGGTTGGGTCAGGGTTAGGGTTAGATCTAGAACTAGGTCTCTTCTTTTATTGTGTTTGTTAGGGTGTCGGTCGTTACGGAAGTCCTTCCTGATGTGTTAACGCACGTCACGTAAACATAACTGCTGTAGCAATCTGAAAACACAGAACACTAGCCTAACAAACAATAGGACTATGTAGTACACTCTACAGCAACATAACTGGCTTGAGTGATTGTTTTGTTTTAATAGAGGTTTTACGGCGCTCGAAACTGCATAAAGTCATATGAGCCCCAGAAGATTGGAGGAGTTACAAGAGAGTAACAAACATAAAAAAGGAGTTGTGATAAGGACGATAGATGTTTGATAGGAAAGAAGAAGCAAACAACACCAGAGCATCCACGAGTAATTGTTTGAGTAAAGAGAAGCAGTTACTTTGTGGTGAAATGTGTAGCCTAACACGTGTGTGGGCCACTGATTGTGTTCAGTAACTAATGTACGTGTTCTGGGCTAGTGTTCTGCGTCTTCAGATAGTCACAGCAATAATGTTGATGAGGTTGGAGGGCGCCACTGGTAGGTCCTACTTCTTTACTTTACCCCTCTGTTATTTTCTGTCTGTCTTTCTTACTTTTCCCCAGCATTAAATGACCATTGTTGTGTCGATGTGCTTCTCGGCAGGAGGAATTCCGTAACGACCGACCTCTATACAGAGTAGAATAGAGGGTTAGAGTTACGGTTAGGGTTATTGGTAGAGTTTGGGGTAGGGGTAAGGGTACGGGACGGGTAGGGTTAGCGCCTGGGTCAGGGTTAGGGTTAGGTCACTTCTTTAGGCTATTGTGTTTGTTGTGGCGGTCGCTCGTAATGGAAGTCCTTCCGCTATGGCAATCTGAAGTCACCGAACACAGTCAGTACACACGTGTTATATAGGCCACGCACCAACACCACAACATACTTATCATGGCAATCTGAAGACACAGAGCACAGTAGCTACTCAATCAAGTATTGCACACCACAGAAACATACTGCTTTGACCATCAGAAGACACAGTAGGCTACATACGTGTATTGCACACCACCACCACAACATATATGCTGTGGCTATCTGAAAACTCAGAACACCGTTTGTACACGCAAAAAAATAGTAAACTGTTTTGATACAACACGGTTTTGCATGAGCTTAATACACCGTTTCAACAAACTCTATATCTAGATCTATACCTTGGCAGCTAGTCACGTAGTGGTGCCTACGGATCAAACGCCCATCTCCGAAAGGAGCCATTTAAGAACCTTTAAATTCCTCGAAAAACCCCTTGGCTAGGTCCAAGACTGCACGTTCCGTAGGGGATTGGAACCCGTTTCGTCAGCCACACAGCCAAGTGTCCAAGTCCCCACAATATCATGTCACATGGGAAGTATGTCACCTCAGAATTGATCACAATGCAAAAGGGAAATGACTAGAGAAACGAATTCTCTTGATGATTGTACAATAAAATAAAACATATTATTATGTTAAGCCAATAGTGCAGGCTACAGTTGACACAAGAGCTCGTGTCGCTGACGTCACCAACGAAAACAAACGAGGGCTGCGTGTGCTCACTCTGGGACGCTGACCATCGAAGAAACGAACAACAAATGGTGAGCACTTTTCGAGACCCACGTACGGAGACGTCTCGACGGTCAAAGGAGGGAATTTACCACAGCTTGCACTGAAATGTGTGGGGGGCCACGTCTGTGGGGGCTGTT